GGGATACATGACCTAGTAATCGTGAATTCTAGTAGCTGAGCAAATTGAAGACGTCAGAGACAGCCCTACCACTGCCCACCCTACCACTGAGGTCCCTGGTAGCAATGAAAAGAGAAAGAACACCTATTCCAACCTTGAGAAACCATGGCTTGGGGGATGGTGAGGGAAGGGAAATTCTGAAGCTCTGTGGGTAGGAGTGAGGAGACTTAGGTCAAGTTGTCATGGATCCCGAGTAAAGGTGGGGAATACATAAACAGAATTAGCCTCCATCCGGTGGTTTATCTGCACCTTGGAAATTGACAGTGTTCTCGTTCTGAATGATCTAGGGGAGAGGAACCCTCTCCTATCACCATGCCTAGCTGTCTGTCTCTGAGATCCTGCCTGACCACTGTTCTCCTGCCTTTGGCTTTGGCCTCTGAACGCTAGTTAAAGCTGTCTTTTGAGTTTGGGATTCTGCTGGGGGCTCTGGGAGCAGTAGCAACTCACAGAGCTTTTGGTTCAATGGCGAGTGTGATCTTGACTAGTGGCTTTAAAGAAAAAACAAGGGAGCAAACCACACCTCTTAGTCTATGGTCCTTAAGCACATTGGAGGTAGCAAGTCAGGATACAGCTTCTGAGCAGGAGCGAGGAGGCAGAGGCAGAGGCAGAGACAGAGAGGCATAGGAAGGCCAGGGGTCAGACAGAAGAGAACGCTTAGAAAGTCAACCCAGCAGCCCTCAGGACTAACAGGCCCGTTTAGTGGATGGCATCAGAAATGCTTCTTGACGTCTTTTTTCACGAAGTAAAAATGGCTGATGACCAGTACACAGATTAGAGGATATATCAATTACAATGGTTATCCTGCATTCTAACATTGCTCAATTTCTCCCAAAATCTCCAAAAGAACCCCTGAAAACATACTGTCCCTGGCAATTCAGAAAGCAAAATTATCAACATCCCCTCCTTGCCACCGCCCATCCCCACGTAGTGTTGGGATTTCAGGTTTGGTTCCACTAGAAGGTCTTTGGCTGAGCTAGCTTGGGACCAGGGTGGTAAGTGGCAAACTGTAGCTCTGAAAATTAATCCCTAATCATCTAAAGAAGATACCAGTAGCCTTCCAACAACATGGCCCCCTTTAGTGTGAAGACATCTAGTCTTCCACTTGGAATCAACCAAAGCCTTCCCCGGGGGGCTGGCCCTTCCTCAATGCACCCTCTTGGGTTATCAACCTGAGGGATCTCATGTTAGATAGCTCAACCATTTTTTAGGAAAAAGTCCTCAAAACAGAGATTGGGGACTGGAATCAGGCCAGCTCTGTTTGTCCAAATAACCTGAGCAGTCACCCTTTCACCTCAATACCATATCTTTCTAGAACCAAGGAACTATGTTCTAATGGTCACTTGCCAAGAAAAGGCAAATATTTTTCTTCCTGTACTGCTGGAGGGGCATTTGGCAGGGGAACCAGCAAACAGGGCAAGGAATTTGCCCAAAGGTCAATCGCACATTTGCTGGGTGGTTTGTGGGGCAACCTACCTATATATTTTTAACTTTGCTGGGGTGGAGGGGAGGGTGGTGAAAGGGAGAGAGTAATGATGGCTGGATAAGTGGCCTGGCACCATGGAAACATGCTCTGCCTTCTGGCTGGAAAGCTGCTACTTTCCATGATTCTAGGGCTTGACAAAGAGGAAGTAACCTAATGGAAATGATTAGGGAGATTTTACACTGGAAATGCAATCTGGGCACATCAGTAAGTGAGGATGCCACAAGGCCTACCGTGGAACAGATCTGCTCAGGGGAGAAGGTCCCCTGATTTCCTTTCTAGATGTTGGGTTCTTCTACTATCCAAAAAAGATCCGAAAACTTAACTCAAACTGCCATCCTGAGAGTAAGAGAAAACAATGCTTCTACTCAAGTCAAGTAGGGAATTTGCCAATATCTAATAATCCCACCTTACAAGGTTGAGCCTCTGACACCTTCAGCTGCTAGTGCCTTCTTTCTACAAGTCCTAACAGCTAATGACTTGGGGTCAGTGAGAATACTGTCCTGAACCCAGCCATGTTGTTCTCCAAAGGACACTCCCACCAGCCAAAATCACTGCCTGAGCTCTCTCTGTCTCTCCTTGAGTTAGAAGATAGGCAGGCCCTAATCCATCTGAATTGACCACACAGCTTCACTGACTTATTCCTTGGAGATCAGGACTGAAGATACTGTTAGGTTTTCATTTAGATCAAGATGCCCAGCTCAACAAAATGGCGGTCACTTCCTTATCCCTACCTGCCTAGCGATCTTCTTAAACCAAGGCACCAAAATCCATCCTTCAAACCCTGTGGCCCAGAGGGAAACACATCTATTTCCAAAGTAAACAGGCTTCAGGACACCAAGGAGTTGCAAAGGACTCAGCTACAGGGGGAGAAAGGAAGAGGACAAGTAATCAAGGGTCATGAAGGAAGAGAATGCATGGGAAGATGAATTGGGAGAGGCAGTGGGAGAGATCTATAGCATATACACATCTGATACTGTTACAGTCATCAGGCTCAATGCTTGGGAGAAGAACAGAAGTCAAAAACTGAGGAAACTGGGGAATAAGTTTAAGCCTGCATCTCCCTACAGAGCTATTTTAATTTTAAAGAAGTCTTAGTTCTTGGGATACCTATGGAACCTTTAAGCCTCTATGTATATACTCAATGGTCAGGCAAACAGAGCCCTGCACTGCAGAGGGGTGGGGTGTGTGTGTGTGTGTGTGTGTGTGTGTGTGTGTGTGTGTCAAAAGATATTAATATCTTCTTTATCCCACCCAATACACCCAATTTGCTTTCTGGATTCAAGTTTCAACTGCCAGAATTTCCTTTGGACAGTGACCCTGTTGGCAGTGACTCTATTTACTCCTCCCTTTTCATTACAAAAAGAACAGATTTTTGTGACTCTGGGATATAACAACAGTTAAAAAACAACAAAACAAAAACAAAGCAAAACAAAAAAAAATCCATCGCTTCCCCAAGGACCACACTTCGGATTTTTTTTTTCTTAAAAACCTGTTTCCTAAACTTTACATACTTCAGTGGTTTCTCTTATTTTTATTTGGCAAACATCTTTTCTTTATTATCATCATCATTAATATCATTATTTGGACCTCTGCAAATACTATATACATTCACATTAACGTACAATATTGACTTCTTGACTCCTGGCTGGGAATCTTTTGGAAACCCCCATATTTCAGTAGCTGGGCCACTCTCCATATTGCACTCCCGTCCTCTGTACTTTGTACAATGATACAAGAAAATGCAAAATAGTCTACATTGTCTCTCTTTTGTTTTTCTTCCATTAAGTACAAGTATTAATTTTCTTTCTCCTTCACTTCCTCCTAGGAATCCTTGTGAGAGTTGGAAGGGGCAGAGGGGGCAAGGGAAGGGGGCATAAGGGTGCCAGTAATAGGGAAAATGTTCAAATGAAAAGACCTATCATGTTCCATCAAAGGAGCAGAGGAAAAAACATCTGGGGAACAACTGGACACAAAAGCAAGGGATTATATACAGGCAATCAAAATAGTCTTCAGAAGGTAGGATGGGGGGCAGAATACAAAGGTGGGTTGGTTTGTTTTTTCTGCTGTTGTTTGTTTGTTTTGTTGTATTTTCCTGCAAAAGTGTGGAAGAGAGGAGAACAGTGATAAGGAGATACTGTGACAAGGGGTGGGGGGAAATGGAGAGAAGAGAGGTAGAGGAGGAAAAGGAGAAGCAGAAAGTATTGGTATAAGTTGCTATCTGCTCATGCTCTGAAAAGCAGTCAAGAATCAATCCAAAAGATTGTCACAGTTTTGTTTTGTTTTGTCTTGTTTTCGGAACAATGCTCTCTCTGGAAAGGAACACTTTAGCACTTTTTTTTTTTCATCATCGGAAAAATTAAATGCGTTGAAAATCCATTGAGGGCGGGAAAATAGAGGTATTTTCCCCTTATACATACATCCACACACACATTCACACATATATGTACCCATGCACACACGTCCATACACATACTGGATTTTTAAATTTTTTTCCTGGGCTTGGCTTGGTCAATCCTGATGATTTTTTTTCCTTTTTACTTTACTCATGTTTAATAACCAAACTCTGAAGCCACAGACGCAAATCCCATAGTCTGGCAGAAAGGTGGGGGGTGGGGAGGGAGATCCAAAGCCTGAGAGCTGAGCAGGTAAAATAGGGCTGGGGGCCTCATTCTTCACTGCTGGTGCCAACGACTCACCAGCTGAGCAGTCATCATTGTTTGGTTGGGACAAACGAGTGTCCTTGTTTGACAAAAAAAAAAAAAAAAAAAAAAAAAAAAGGAGCTGGGGCCATCCCCCCTCTGAAAAACGCAAAACCCCAACCAAGAACCAAAAACCAACCAACCAGCCCCAAATCAAACAAACCCAAGAGTAATAAAACAGAAAAAAAATACTTTGGCAGTGACAAAAAGAAGTCTGGATTGGTTTTCTTGTGAGAGTTTGCTTTTTGGATTTCCTTTGGAGCAGAGGTGTATCTGGTATTCTTGGCTAGCTAGCAAGGTAGTTTACAAGTAAGCTTCCTTTACTTTTGTTTTTAAAAATCTTTTTTGGATTTTACTTAAAGTCAAAGAGTTTGACATTAAAAAAATAAAAAATAAAACCAAAAATAAAACCAAAAACATTTCTTGCATCAGAAATTGTAATCCTTCTTACCGTCTTTGCTGCACCTGCCCCTCCCATCACACAGGGGGCAATGTGGCAGAATATCCAACTATAAAAAGAACAGTTCTTTTTCCCTTCTCATTGAAAAAAAAACCACACTCAAAAATGAAAACCCCACAGTTTTCTTTGTCCATTTCTGAGTAGCTCTTTTGGGGAAAAACCAACACAAGCCCAAACCAAGGAACAAGCTCCCCTCTACCCACCCTCCCCAAATAAAATCCTTCACTGAAAATATAAGCCACCAAATTATTAAAAAAAAAAATTTAAACAAGAAAGTGTGTAAGAGAGATCTAGAGAGAGAGAGGAGAGAAAGAGAGGAGAGAGAAAGAGACAAGAGAAAAAGAGACAAGAGGGAAACTGACAAGACAGAGAAAGACAGATTAACGGAGAAGAAGGTTTGTACTTTCTTTGTGAAATCACTTTTAAAGCCCAGTTTTGAAGATCTGTGAGGATCACTCGAAGAGATAGAGGTCGTTTGGAGGTCGAATGAAATCGTCAGGTAGCTGAGGAAGTTGCATTGAATGCAGTTTTTTTTTTTCTTTTGGAGAAAAGCAGTAGCAGCAGTGACTTTTGTAGGTTCTCGGATTCCGTTGTATCTTCCTTTCCCTGGATGGGGCTAGCGGGAGGCAGTTTCCAGGGGGGCTGGGGTGGCCGGGGTGCCCGAGCGGGAGGCGGCTGCTGAACTGGTCTCGCTGGGGCTGGTGGCCACAGCCACGGCTACTACGTCCGGCTGGGCGGGGCCCACCCCATTGGTCGGGGTGGTGCCCGTGGCTGCCTGGAGGCCCTGGAGTGTCTGGCCACACACGTGGTGGTGTTTCTCCCAGTCCTTGTGCTGGCAGAAGGAGCCGCAGTAGCGGGCAGTGTTGCAGCCGCTGCAGGTCTCGCTGGCTTTGCGCCCACAGTTCCAACAGCTCTGGGGGTGGGGGGGACAGAGGGCAGTGTCAGGTGTATGTGTGTGGCAGCCTTGGCTGACCTACCAGTTCCGAGTAGGCACCTCTCCCATTCCTCTCCTCTAAGGATGCCCAGAGACCATGAGGAGAGGGCGGGCGATATGGAGTCTAAGGACTGAAGAAATGTGCCCTAAGACTGATCTACTTGACTGGCCTTGGGGAAGACACTCTTTGGGCCTCAGTTTCCTACTCTGTGAAATGAGAATAACTGTTTTGTGAGGGTGGTTTTGAATCAAATCAGTCAGTAGATGTGAATGGACTCCAACAAGCATTATATGCTATAATGTGCAAAACCCCACATGGGTCTCAAGTTTCCCCATCTGGACAATGAAAGGTTTGGACTAAATGATCTCTAAATGCCTTCCCAGTTCTAATAATTAGCTTGGAAAAGGCACTAAACTTGGATTCACAGGGCCTGAGGCCAAATTTCTTCTTTCTACCAGTTTTCTCATGTGATCAGATCGAATGACTTCTAAATCTATGATTCCATGACCATGAAGGTCTCCTGAAGCTCTAGCACCCCGTATCTATGAGCCAATACAAGGCATTTCCCTTCTTACTCTTGCAGTGACAGTCTGGGAAAGGCCAAACGTGGAACCTGAGGACATCTGCGGGTTTCACATATTGTTGCTTTCCCAAGTCCCAGGCATAACTGTCCCAACCTGGCTGGGTAATAAAGAGGGAAGAGATCACAGGGCGACTGAGGAGGGTTCAGTGGCTGCCGGTTGTCTGAGGGCTACCCTAAAGTTTGCCCTAGTGAACTACCTTAATTGGGAGGCCTTCAGGATCATTTCAATGGGTTACCAGCCACTTCCCAGGGGCTGGGGGTGTTGCTAGGCCAAAAGTGTCAAGAGGGCAAAACTCCTGACTGGCCAGAACCAGATTAAAATGTAATTGGAAAATATGTAACAAAATAAGTCAAATACAGTGAAACATAGATGTCATTACATTTTAAAACTAAGTCAATATGCTACCCACAGGAAGCCTTATGTGTGGATTTTGTTATTCGGTTGTTTTCAGTCATGTTCGACTCTTCATGACCCCATTTGGAGTTTTGGCAAAGATAGTGGCGTGACTTGCCATTTCCTTCTCCAGCTCATTTTACAGATGAGGAAACTGAGGTAAGCAGATTTAAGTGACTTGTCCAGGGTCACACAGCTAGTAAGTATCTGGAGCTAGATTTGAATTCAGGTCTTCCTGACTCTAGGTGGGGCACTCTATATCCACTGTACCACCCAGCTGCCCCATGTATGGATTAATGACGCTCTTTTCTATTGGAGTTTGACGCCTCTGGTGTAGGCTGTGTGTACTAGGGCTCTTCAGAGAAGGGGGTTTTTCTCAAAGAAGGAGTATGGGGAGAGGAACACGGCACAGCACAAGAAGTAAAGAGGGGGCAGTAATGAAGCAGAGGGCCCCTAGAGAATAGACTCATTCCGTTGCAGAAACCATTGCCGCCTCAACTCTTCCAAGGCCTCCAGGGCTATATTTAAACCAGTCGAGGCAGAGGAGACTGTGTTTCTAAAGGGCTCCCCGCTCCATTCTCCAAGGGAAGGGGAGTTTCCATGAAGAAAATTCAAAGTGACCCTCACAGGAAGGGACCTCAGAGCCAAATGGTCCAACCCACACATTTTACCCATCAAGGGACTGAGGCCTGGAGGAGGTGGGGGAGGTGTCATGAAGTGATTTGCCCACAAGGCATAAGCATCAGAGGTGAGATTTGAATCCAGGTCCTTCGGAGAGTGATGGGGGAGGGAACACCCTAGGCAGAGTAGGGAGCTCTGTCCACTATTGGGAAAAACCCTTCTTTAGATACGTCAGTCTTTTACTCCCATTTCTTCTTTAACAAAGAAGAAAGAAGACAATTCCTATTAATCCACACGGTATATCTACGGACACCCATGTGTTAACCTTGTCAAGCCCTATGCCTGTGGACCCCGAGGCAGTAAGAGGAAGAAGGGCACGGCCAGAACCCCAAGATGTCAGAGGACGGAAGAAGAAAGACGAGAAGGGTCCCCGTCGCCCGTCCCCGTGTCTGCTGTGGAACGGGTCTGTGGCTGGAGGTGGGTGTCGTGTGTCCTGCGGTCGTCCCTGACCTACGAGGGCAGAGGGAGCCCGGGGCAGATCTGGTACGAGAAAGAAACGAGCGCGGCCCTACCTCGCTGGAGTCTTCCTGCTGGTTGACGACGGTCAGGGCGTCCTCGGAGGCCTGCCGCTTGGCCTCGGCCAGGGCTCGCTCCATCTTCGCTCGCTCGGTCGTGATGAGTTCGTGGGCTTTGCGTTCTGCGTCAGACACGGCCTTCTGCAGCTCGGACATCGCCTGGCGCTTTACCTCGTTCACGGCTTCCTCTGAAAGGCAGCGTGGGCGGAGGGCTGCCGCGTCAGTACTCTGGGCTGGCCATGCGCATAGGGCTAGCACAGGGGGCCTGGGGAGGTGGACTCAGGCTCAAGGAGTGTGTTTGTGGGTGCGAACATGTGTGGGCACAACATGTGGGGACCTTGGAGGCCATTGAGCCTGACCCCCCTCATTTGACAGATGAAGAAACTGAGGCCCAGGAAGGGATGTCTCCAGGGTCACATAGAAAATGGGCATCAGAGGCAGAATTTGAACCCAGGTCCTGGAGACAGGAAGATCTGAGTTCAAATCCAGCCTCAGACATTTATTAGCGGTGTGACTCTAGGCAAGTCACATCACCTCTGCCTGCCTCAGTTTCCTCAACTGAGAAATGGGGATAATAATAGCACCTACCTCCCAGGGTTGTCGTGAGGATGAAATGAGTTAATATTTGTCAAGTGCTTGGCATAGTGCCTAGCACATAGTAGGTGCTATAGAAATGCTAGGTATCCTTCCTCTTATTTGACTCTAAAACCAGTCTCTTCCTACTACACCGCACTGTCTTCCATGCACATGTATATGCATAGTCATGAATATGCACACATGCATGGAGGTGTAGATAGGTAAGCACACTGGGACTTATTTGAAAGCTCTGTGTGTGTGTGTGTGTGTGTGTGTGTGTGTGTGTGTTAAGCACTTTACAAATATTATCTCATTGTAATCCTCACAACAACCCTGGAGGTAAATGCTATTATTCTCATCCTCTTTTACAAATGAGGAAACTGAGGCAGAGAAAGGTGAAGTGACTTCCTCAGCGTCGTACAGTTAGTAAGGGTCTGGGGTGGGATTTGAACTCGGGTCTTCCTAGCGCCAGGTCCAATGCCATATTCACTCTGAAATGCTTCCAAGCGGAGGCTGGGGATCCTTCAAGCCCACGGTCACACCTTACTCTCCAACCCAGAGTGGTTCCAGGCTTCTGGACAAGCCCCATCATGCACTCCAGTGGGGCAGCTGTTTCACGGTGTCTGTACACTCTCTGGCTCACCCTAGTGCCCTATGGCACTGTGACTAAATCACCAGGTTCCAGGGACTCAGAAAATCTTAAGGGACAACAATAGAAAGTCCCGTTGGAAAAAACCACATCTTTCAATAGGATAACTTATCCTAGGAGATGGAAAGGGTTGCAAGTCTAGAGGTGTGGGTCTCAACTTGCTAGATGACACTGAACAAGTCAATTCAGAGTCAATTTCTTCATTTATCTAATGAGAGGGTGGAAGTAGACGATCTCCAGGGGAAAACCTCCTCAAGGAGCCAGAGCTCAACTCAGGGATCTTACAAAACAAAGAGGGGCACGTGTAGACGGAAGGGTAGGTGATGGCAGGAAGATCCTGCACGAGGAGACCTGACGTCTCCAGGCCTGGGGGTCTCGTGTTTGAAAAACAGCATCGTAGGATTTAGAATGGGATGGAACCTTAGAGATAATTTACAGGCACAGTATGGTATACCATAGCAAAAATGGTAGACTTGGGGTCAGAAAACTTGGGTTTTAAAACCCACCCAGAGTGGTCACACAATAACCAGTCAGTCATTTCAACTCTCAGAGCCTCAGTTTCCCCATTTGTAAAATGGGGATAAGAATAATGACACTCTCTACTTCATAGAGTTGCAAAGAAATCACATTTCAAACCTATGAGTCCTTTTGGAATGGCTGTGATTTATTTTAATAAGTCCAACCACTAATTTTAAAGATGAGCAGATCGGGGCCAAGAGAGGAAAAATAACTCACCCAAAGCCAGGTAGGTAGTAAGCAAGAGAGCTACACTTTGATCCCAGGGCCCCTAATTCCAAATCCAGTGTTCTATCCACCATAGGAATTGCTCATGGCTTTATTTAAGTGATATGTTGTAATCTTTAGCTCCTGGGAAGATGGTGTGTGAGTGTGTGTGTGTGTGTGTGTGTATGCATGCACAAGTGCATGTGTGTGCATGTATATGTATGTGTATGTGCATGCATGTGTGCATGTGTGTGTGTGTGTGTGTGTGTGTGTGTGTGCGCGTGTGACTTGGCCTGCTCTTTACTCTTACTGTCTGGGGTAGCAAAAGGGTTCCCTTTTAACACTCACCAGCTTTTCTCCAGATTTCTTCTGGCATATAACCGGATAGAGGCCGGGGTACAAACTCCCGGTGACTTTCTGAAAAATGAGAATGAAAAGGAATCAGCTCTGAAGATCAAAAGTAATAAGATCTCAAGCCCTACAGGGGCACACTGGCTTCCCCTCAGGAAGGCAATGCCCAGAGCCCAGCCCCAGGGGCACCTTCTTCAGCCAAAGCCTGAGTCTGACTCTGTCCAAGGGCAGAGACTGCGAGACAGCAGCCTGAGTGTCCTTCTCCCTTTCAGCCCACAGGCACCATGGCACAAGGGCCCAGTCACTAGGAATGGCAGCATCAGTGGCCCATGACAGAACCATGCTACTGATCAGCATTATCTTTGCAGTTTTGTGGCTGGGCACTGGCCCAGATAAACATGGCCCTTGAATAGACCAGGATGACTTAGAATCATGAAATCATAGAATTTTGATTCCAGGAGAACTGGAAAGGTCCTACAGGACCAGCTAGAACCCTATGGGATTCTCTACATGCCAGGGCCTGGGCCAGACTGGCTTCCAACAGCAACTAAGATGGCGTCAGGGCAACGTTGGCTCCTCGTCTTAGTGTAGGCCTTTCCACTCATTTTGGGGTGACTTTGGGTAAGTCCCTTTTGGGAGTCCTGGGGGAGCTTGGGCCATCCTCTCTCTGTCCCTTGACCCCTCACAGCCCCAGCTCAGTCCAGCCCAGCATCATTACCTAACTGGGGACCCTCGGAGTTGGAGGAGCTATTGTGTGGGCGGGATGTGGCAGAGATGGGGCCCTTCTTCATGTCCTCGGCATCACTATAGCGCCGGATCCAGTGGTTGAGCTCCTCCCGGTCAGCCTCCTGGCATCGGCGCAGCACCGTGAGAGAACGCCGAGTCTTTTCCACCATATCCATGATACAGTTCAGGAGCTATCAGGGGACAGGGGATATAGAGATGAGCTGTAGGAGATGGTGATCCATTCATTCTCTCCACTTAAAGATGTGTGAATGCAGAGGCCAAGGTTATAGTTCAGTTCCCATGGAAGCAAGTTGGCTTTGCTCTAATGAGTGGGACATGTGATCATGGGCTAGAGGAAGGGTGGTATTGGTTAATGTTTAACAATTATCTCTCAGAAATAAATACCTGTTAGGATTTAACAATCAGCTCTTGGGGTGGGGGGAATGAATGGGAGACACACTTTTAAGTTTAATCTGCATTAACATTTTTTCCATCACTTTCTTAAGTCTAGGCAACCAATAAAACGATAAATCAAGCTCCTGATATATATCGTTTGCCAATTTCTAAGGTTTAAATGCTCACACTGAAAATTTAACAACTGGCTTTCTTGAGCTAATGTGATCTGGCTCCAGCATACTTGTGGCTAGAAGGAGCCTTCAAAGTCTTCTAGTTAAACCCCTTCATTCTACAGATGAAAATGATCCATGAAAACAGATAGTCCAGGCAGCCGCCCCTCTTTCAAAAGAATATTCTTGGTTGCAAGAATTAGGTGAGTAAGTAAGAAATCATCCCTATTATTGGGGGCTCTTCCCATCACTCTCTCTGAACTTCAGCTTCATCTTCTGTAAAATGGGGACAATAATGACTATACTAGCTTCCTCACAGGACTGCTGTAAGAATAAATGAGAGAATGCCTATGTAATGATTTTGTGTAAGGCTGAAGGTAGTGATTTTCCTCAATGAAGGATGGTGTTATTTTAATATTTGTTTTATGTACTATAGGGTGACATTTTTAATACTTATTTTGGATGGAATAGTTTGGCACAAGAACATGCTACTGCTTTCCCCTCATCCTGCCATCTTCTTCTCCATTATTACAGAATAATAGCAACAAAAGTGAATGGCCCGTGTCTTTATTTCTTTTGTATCCTCCCCCTAGAAAGCCTAAGACAGGATGGCACCCATAACTGGCCCTCAATGAAGGGTGCTGACTGGCCAGTTGGTCCAGGGTAGGTCTGAGCCCCATGGGGTTGAGGACTATGCTCTTACATCTCTCAAGTCTTGGATAGGGAACCTGGTGCACAGGTTTGACTCACGCAACCACAAAGAGAACTCGGAGATCTTGGAAAGTGCCATCCGGCTATGTGGCCCAGGAACGCCTGTGTTCACTGCATCTCCCCCCCACCTGGAGAAGCCTGCCACGAACCTGCAAGGCAGCACTGCCCATCCTGTCGGCCCTAGACAGCCTGACGCGTCCTTACATGGGCCAGTCCATTCAGATGTGCATTTCAGACCCAAGCCCACCCAACGCCTCCACGCTGTGACTTGGGGTTACCTACATTGTTGAGGTGCTTCCACTCCTCTGCCCACTCTCGGTCTGTGAGCCTGTGGTCAATCACCTCTTCCTGCCGGGAGCCATGCACAGCTGGGAGAGAGGGAAAGGCAGGCATTGAGAACACAGCTCTAGGGGAGAGATCGGTCCTGCACAGACTGACCTGCCCAAATCTATAGCAGCTCTCATATCCTGTCCTGTCCTGGTCAAAACCCTCCTTCCTTTCCTCCCCCTCCCCCTCCTCTCTTCCTTCTCCTACTCCTCCACTTTTCTCCTTCTCCTCTTCCTTTTCTCCTCCTTCTCTTCTTTCTCTTTCTTTCTTCCTTCTTCTCCTCTTCCTTCTCTCCCTCCTCCTCCTTCTCCTCCCTGCCTTCCCCCTCCCCCCTGATGCCTAGGAGGATGTCTTTCCCAAACTAAGTGCTCAGTAGAGATGGGCTGTTGCTCACTTGGCCAGAGTGGGTAGAGTGGCATGCTCTCCCCATACCCTCCAAGGGCCCAGCAGGCTTCCCTAGGCTCCCCTACTCATGACTCACCCTCTTGCAAGGTTGGGGGAGGGGATTGAGGAGGAGGAGGAGGAAGAGGAGGTGGAGCTCTCTGAGTTGGGCTGGGCTACCCTGTCCTACTTCGTGTGTCACCAGGAACTTGAGCCAACACTTCAACCAAAATAGTGGCTGGAATCTGGAGGGACAACTGGCATTTATTTTTGCATTAGCAGGAGCTGGTGGGAATTAGCACCTGCCTGACCCTGGGATTCAAGGAGCCAGACACCATCACCTGCTGCCTGGGCCTGGAACCCTGAGAGGAGGAGGACAGCCAGCTAGCAGGCCCCCTCCAGGGAGGGGCTCATGCTGAGCTTTCCCAGGACTGAGTCTCTGGTCGCTCCCCGCTTTCTGGTCACTCCTTTACTCTATGGCCCCTCAAGTCTGCTGGCACAGAACTAGCAGGTACTCACTTGTATATTCCTCGGTAGTTTCTGAAATGTTTTTAGATATAGATAAAACATTTATTAAGCTTTTACTATATGCCAGGGCACCATGTGGATAAATCATGTGATACCTCTCCCCAACCAGACTTCCGTATCCTTGTGGGCAGGGACTCTGTATGTCTTCTATGTTCTGGGGAGCCCTCCAGAGTGCCTAGGACAGTGCTCCATTTGAAGAACGTGGAGAGCAAATAACTCGAGATTCGCTCCTGGGAAAGACCGGCGCTGCCTCCATGGATGCGGCCTGTGAGCTGGACGACCACATATGTGGAGGTTCTAGGCCCAGGCAGCGGGGGATGGTGTCTGGCTCTGGAATTCTGTTGGAACCTCACACATTGCTTACCCACACCATGCCCAGGCTATGTATAGTTTCAGAAGGTTTATGGGTTCGAGGCTGCCCCAGCCCCAGGCTCTCGAGAGTCTGGGTCCCCACCACGTGCCCAGTGTCCCTGAACTCCACCACATGCTTTGCAATATTTAGATCAGGGTTGGGAGGAATGTGGGACACTGGGAAAATGTAGCTTTTGAGCTCTTCCCCCAGGGAGCTGTATACCTGATTCTGTTCCTAAGGGTTTCTCTTTCATTGGAGGAGGTAGAAAGCTAGCAGGTCTCCTCCTCACATACTCAGGTTAAGCAGGGCTCAGAGATACTAAACTCCTCGGCACTCACAGAACATGGATTCCAGTCTTATTTCTCATGCAAAGGCCAATGCCCAACATCAAGGTCTTTCCTTCAACCCCCTGGCAACTTCTGTCTCCTATTTCATCCCCCTCGGGGTCCTGTGGACCTTTTTCTCCTTCTCATCTGGGTGCTTTCTGTTCTGCATACCCCACAGGGCCATTTCTTCCCTGTGAAACCCTCTCTCATCCCCACCCAAACCCCTAACTCTGGGCCAGGGTAGGGAAGGTCCTTGGGGTTTGCTCACCAACTTGCCGATGGCGCTCCCGCAGCTCTCGGGGGTCAGGGGGCCTGTATGGGTCCCTGTAGTGGTGGGCTACAGCCATGTCCTCGAGGCGGTAGTGCTGAGGTGGGGGAGGTGTGGGGTGGGGCAGCCCATTGGGTTGATGACTCAGCCCATTGTTGGGGCTGTACCTCTGGGCAGGGCTCAGGGTGCATGGCCGTTTACTGAGGTGTTCGGGGTGCAGTGGGTCTCGGTCTAACCCATTCTCTTTGGTCCTGGTCCAGTGTGAAGGGAGGCAAATAGATAGATAGACAGAGGCCAAGATGGTGGACACAGAGACAGGAACAAGCAGAGACAGGCCAGGATAAATGGTATAAAGGAGAACAAATGAGAAAAAGAAAGAAAAAAGGAAGGGGGGAGAAAGAGGAGGAGGGAGAGGGAGAAGGAGAAATGGAGAAAGAGAAGAAGAAAAGAGGAGAAGAAGAAGAGGAGGAGGGAGGAAGAGGAGGAGAGAAGGAGAGGAGAGAAGAAGAGAAGGAGGAAGGGAGAAAGAGAAGGAAAGAGAGAGAGGGAGAAAGAGAGAGATACGTGAATCATCTTCCCGGGCAAACCAGCCCAGCAGCTCTGGTCTGTACCCTAGGCAAGGTGATTAGCATGCCATCCTCAACACAGCCCTGCTCCCTGGAGTTTGGGATTATGAAATACAGGTCTTCATTAAGAAGTCTGACCCTCCACGGGAGGAAGCCAGGAAGGAGGAGCCACCGGGCCACCGTTAACCAGACACCCTCCTGGGCTTTGAGCCGAAGCGTGTGCCACTTGGGGACAACCACCTCTGTGACCCTGCAGGGAGGGCTCAGGCCCCAGTGACACTCCCCCAGCTCTCCACCACTCAGCTCTCAGGCAGGGAGTCCTCAGACCCAGGCCCCTTGAAGGCCCTGGGGATCCTCTCCACCCTGACCCTCTGGCATTCTGCACACCATCCCAGGTGAGGAAGCCTCAACACCCGAAGGTTGACCTGGGCTAGAAGAGTCCTACCAGATACATCCTTTCCCTCCACTTTCCATCATTTATCCTTAATTGGCCACGTGCCTTTTGGGAGGGCTTCTGGGGGAGGGCAAGAGGGGTCTTTTAAGTCCTGAAATTGACTTGCATATAAGGCAAAACTTTCCAAAAAAATAGGGCTTAATTTGGGAGAAACTTTAGAGATTGTCTAGTCTAACTTTTTCATTTCGCAAATGAGGAAACTGAGGCCCAGTGAAGTGACTTGCCTAGAGTCACATAGCTAGTAAATGGCAAAATTGGCATTTGAATTCAGGGCTTCTGCGTTCAACTTAAACCAAGCCGTTCTTTCCCTGGTCTTGTGCTCTCTGGAGTGGAAAAGACGATTAATTGACCCACTTTATAATTCACTTGTCCTTTACCATGATTGGTCTGAAATAAATTGTAATCTGGAAAGGGGGGGACAATAATGACAATGATAATAATAACCAACATTTTTATAGTGCTTATTATGTGCCAGGCACTGTGCTAAGCGCTCTACAAATATTATCTCACATGGCCCTCACAGCGACTCTGTGAGGTAGGTGCTATTACTATCTCCATTGAACAGATGAGGACACTGAGGCAAACAGAGGTTAAATGACTTGCCCAAGGTCACACAGCTAGTGAAATGCCTGATTCCTGACTCCGGGTCCAGCATTCTGTCCATCGTTCTACCTTGCTGTCTCTAGATCACAGATTGAGGGCTGGAACAGATCTTGGGCCTGACTGCCTTGTTTTGCAGATGAACAAACCAAGGCCCAGAGAAGTTAAATGACTAGCAGACAACAGAGGCGAGATTAGAACTCACATCCTCTGACTCTAGGACCAGTGCTTGATTTCCACCAAACCACACTGCCACCTCCCTTGAGCTAAAACGAAGGCTTAAAAATGTCGAGCTGAGTGGGAGTAATGACCGACCCCCCCCCAACTCCTTCCCCTCTTCCCGCCCTTCAGAGCCCCTCCTCACCTGTCTGGTGTCCTCCTCTTGCCATTCTCATTGACTTCCAGGAGAAGCTCGGAGGAGTCGATGGGAGAAGAGGCGTTGGCATCCAGCAAGAGCTGCTCGTGTTGGGCCAGGTACTGGGCGGGGGTCTGCTTGGCCAAGCGGGCGCAGTGCAGGAGCTCCCGCTGTAGCAAGGGCAGGTTTGCCTGGGGGGAGAAGAGGGTTTAGCTCACTGATGGGGGGGAAGGGAGGTCCAGCTTTCTCTCTGGGCCTCAGTTTCCTTTTCTGTAAAATGAGGGGCTTCAACCAGATAATCTTGAAATCCCCCTCCATCTCTCCATGTAGTGGGCCCGAGAGCCTCTCTGCTACTTCATGTTTTGGTTTCCCCAAAGAAGTTGACTACTACTACCACCACCACCACAACCACCACTACTACGACTACCACCATTACTATTATTACTACCACCACCACTATTACTATTATCATTACTACTCCTACTACTACCATTACTATTACTATCACTACTATTACTACTACCACTACTACTACTATTACCATCACCACTACTGCTACCATTGCTATTACTACTACTATTAGTACCACCACTACTATAACTACTACTATTACTATTGCTATTACTACTATTGCTATTACCATCACTACTACTACTACCACTACTATTACTATCACTGCTATTACTACTACCACTACTACTATTACCATTGCCACTACTACTACCACTACTATTACTACTACTACCTTACTATTACTATCACTACTACTACTGCTATTACCATCAGTACTACTACTACCACCATTACTATCACTATCACTACTATTACTACTACCACTACTACTACTATCACCATCACCACTACTACTACCACTACTATCACTACTACTATTACTATCACTACTATAACCACTGCCACTACTACTACTACTACCATTAACATCACCACTACTACTACCACTACTATTACTGCTACTACCACTACCACCAAGATTACTACTACTACTGCTACTACTATCAAACATTTATATAGCGTTTACTTTGTGCCAAGTACTTTACAATTATTTCATTTGATCCTCACAACAATCCTGTGAGGTAGGTGCTATTGCTATCCCCATTTTACAGAAGAGGAACTGATTATAATTCATCTGAGATGAGAGTCCCCCGTGAACCTCCTTTCACTGCCCACCCTCTAATCTCCATATATCTTTGATCACATCATTTCACATGCTATGTCCCATTTTATGACCTATTGAAATCCTCATTACTCTTCAGTCAATCAATGAACGTTTATTACATGCCTACTATGTGCTGAGCATCATGCTAAGTGCCAGAGATACAAGAAGAGGCAAAAGACAGGTCCATGTCAAATCCTATTTCCTCCAAGAAGCTTATCCTAAGACAAAGCTGTATGACCTGTGAACTCCTGGGACACTTGTCTGTGCTGCTCACAATAATAATAACAATCATAATCAAAATCATAATAATAATATAATAACAGCTGACATTTTTATAAGATTTGCCAAGGTTTTTGTATTTATATATTTACAAATTACATATATATTATTCTCATCTGATCCTCATAACAACCCTTTAAAGTGTAATACTAAGATAGTATGTCCTGGGACCCTGGGTTATGATTGGTGATCTTTTGCCTTCTCCTGTCTGGAACCAGGCCTTCAAGTCACTTCCTGGTCATTTATAATCCATATTGTTGTTGTTCAGTTGTATCCAATTCTCTGTGACCCCATTTGGGGTTTTCTTAGCAGAGATACTGGAATGGTTTGCCATTTCCTTTCCCCAGCTTATTGTACAAGTGAGGAAACTGAGGCAAATAAGGTTAAGTGACTTGCTCAGGATCACACAGCCAGTGTCTGAGGTTGGATTTGAGTTGAGGAAAATGAGGGTCCTGATTCCACTCCTAGCGCTCTGTGCACTATGGCGCCACCTAGCTACCGTATAAGCCCTAGTACTACATGAATACAATTTCCTTCCCCTTTCAGTGCAAGCTCCTTGAGGGCAGAAACTGTTTTGTTTGTTTGTATTTTTTGCTTGCTTGTTTTTTGTTATTTCCAGGGCTGAGTACGGTACCTGGAACATAGCAAGCACTTGAAAAAATGCTTTTTAATTAATTGCTATAGATGAGGAAACTGAGGCTCAGAGATACTAATGATTTGCCCTTGGTCACTCATTTACCACACATCTTTTACTCATGCTATCCTTGAGGACAAGAATGGAAAGATATGGACCAGATGTTGATACAGTTAGGTGAAATCAGAACTGGTTAAATGACTAGACTCAAGGTGAGGCCATTAATTGATTGATGATGACAGAGGGAGGCCTTTAGTGAAGATTCACTAAATGCTGGGGGATAGTTAATTGTTAGATGACAGAGTCAGGACAGGCTAAAATGATGGGCCAAATGAGCAAGATGAAATTCCATGAAGATGAATGGAAAGTCCTATACTTACAGGAAAAAAGTCAATAATTTGTGCGAAAGATGTCTTAGAGTTATAGTAGATTGTAAGTCAATGGGGCGATCTGGCAGCTGAAAAAGGCTAATGTAGTCCTGGGGTAGCTAAGTGGTGTCATAGTGGATAGAGTGTTGGGTCTGGAGTCAGGAAGACTCATCTTCATGAATTCAAATCTGGCCCCAGATACTTCCTAGCTGTGTGACCCTGGGCAAGTCACTTAACCCTGTTTGCCTCAGTTTCCTCATCTGTAAAATGAGCTGGAGAAGGAAATGGCAAACCACTCCAGTATCTTTGCCAAGAAAACCCCAAATGGGGTCATGAAGAGTTGGATGTGACTGAACAACAACAAAAAGTTCTAGGCTGCATTGAGAGTTGCCTAGAGTTTAGAATGACTCTGTACTAGTCAGACCATCTTTTAGGAAGGGCATTACAAGTTGGAGCGTGTCCAGAGAAGGACAACTAGCATGGCGGGTAGACTGCAGGTCATTTCACTTGAGGATTGATCGAAGGAACTGAGGGCATTTAGCCAAGAGAAGAAAAGACAAAGGACTTTTCTATAGAAGATGAATTCAAATTTATCCTGCATGGCTCCAGAGGAATGTAAGAAGGGACTGTGTGTGCACAGCAGGCACTTAATTCATGTGGGTTCATTTGAATTTGTGGAGTTCAGAGGCTGGAAAAGGAAAAACTTCCTAGTAATGAGAACTGCCCAAAAGTGGACTGTCTAAGGAAATTTCCTCTTTCCTGGAAGAATGCAAGGAGAGGTCAGATGACCGCTTATTGGAATCCTATAGCAGGGATTCCTATTTAGGCATGGATTGGGCCATATGGCCAACTAAGATACTGCATTCCTTATGGTCCCCAACACCAGGCTTTACGTGAGCAAGTACTTAATAAAGACAAAACTAAAGTGGGGCAAGTGGTGCCTTGCCTCCGGGTGCCAAAACTTGGGGGATGCTGAAAATACTTTCAACAGCATAAAAACCATTGGGCTCAGTATCTAGTTAGCAAGAACAACTAGCTAATTATTCTTTTAGCCATTTCTCCCCAATCCCCTCCACTGCGACCATCGTGGGTCCATATCTCAAGTAATCTCCTCCCTGGCCTATGCTCATTCCCCTGCCCCAACTGCCTTACTGTGTCTTTGGATTTCCACCTCCAACTAAACTGAGTGGTTTTTCATTGCTTGCCCTCCATGCAAAAATCGCTAGTTCTAGCCCTGGTGTCTAACGAATATGCGAATAGTGGAGCTAGTAATGGCTGGTGACTTCTTCTTCTAGGGAGAACTAGATAGACTTTTCTGGTGGCTGAGGGTTGATGATAACTCTCCCCCAGTGTGGGGGAGAGGTCAGAGTGATTCCTGGTTTCCCGTTTTGGGGGGTAAGTAAGAGCTGCTAGCATTAGAGCATTGATCTAGCTGATAAAGCTGCCTTGGGGGCTCCCACCCTTTGCCTGAATATTACAGGCCCCACTGGGTTGTCCCTATTGCCTTCTACTGAAGCTAGGGGGATACCCTGGTGAAGAATTATTGACATGGGTTTGTGCTCACAGCACAGAGAATTCAGGAGGCCTACCACCCAAGGACAATCTTCCCTCTACCCCTGGTCCATGTTCTGGACCTCTGCCTGCGTGTTTCCCAAGACGTCTTGAGTCCCTCCCCAACCCCTACCCCAAAGATAATAGAAATCTGTGAGCTATGTCTCTCCCAGTTGGGTCATCAAATGGTCCTCCCAGGGTACCTCCTTCCAGGACCTCCACTAGTCTAGGCTCTGGGGAAGGCATGAGCAGAAAAAAGAATCTCTAGGGTAGGTGAGGCGGGCCTGGGAAGGAGGCCATGTGGAAGAGTCAGTGGTTTTTAAGTATTTGTAAATAAATAAATTCCCCCAGCCCCCAAGCAGACTTTTAACTTTCTCATGGACTTCCAAAGCTTCTCCTCTTCCCCGCCTCCCCATCACAGCATCCAGCCCAGAGACGATTAAGCGGCAGAATGCATTTTTTGTCAAGCTGCTCTCCCTGCCCGTCCTGTTTTTCTATTTAGATAGCTGAACGCCAGCCAAACCTCCATCTGTTGAACATGTTAGGAGTGTGAGCTGAGGAAATGTGGTGCTGTAGGTTTGAAGGCTACAAACATCCTCCTATCCCTCTCCCGCATCTCCTCTTCTCCTAACCAGTCTCCCCTCTGCCACTAAAAAGGAGGAGGAATAATACTAATAATAATTAAAAGAGAGAGAGGAGAGAGGGAGAGAGGGAGAGAGGGAGAGGGAGAGAGGGAGAGAGGGAGAGAGGGAGAGAGGGAGAGAGGGAGAGAGGGAGAGAGGGGGAGGGGGAGAGAGGGGGAGGGAGGGAGAGGGAGAGAGAGGGAGAGGGAGAGAGGGGGA